TGTGTGTGTGTGTGTGTGTGTGTGTGTGTGTGTGTGTGTGTGTGTGTTTGCTCCTTTTCTGAAAGCAGAAAAGGGAACAATTTTTTTTAACTCCGAAGTTGGTAATATTTGTAGAATATTATTTTGGTTGGTTGTTGTTTATGACTCAGAACACAGATGAAATCAAAACTTCTGCAACTGTCCCTAAATTCACATCTTTAAAAGGTCCTTTTCTCCATTCACATGAATTCATCTGAATCATTGCCGTCCTGTAGGAAACAAAACAGTGAAACCATAAAAGCCTTCGAAATAAATAACTTGATTAAAAAAATTTACAATTAGTATTAGGTAACAAGCCTCCTTATGCCGAACTGCAGAATTCAGAGTAAAAAGTAAAATAATTATATTCACTCATTTCTTCTCTATCTTTAACTGCTAGTTGTTTAGAATAGCTACATTAGCAGCTATATTCTCTAAGGTGTCATTACATGGCCTGGATTGCCCAGCAATAAGAGACCAATGATTCCCAAATTAAGAAGTAAGGCCCAATGACTTAGTATAAGATGTAACAAGAGTGACCGAAAGGAAACGTAACTCTTCCTTCAACAAATATACCATAAAATGAAACCAAACAAATACTGCCTCAATGTTTTAATACCAACAAAGCTGCAAATATGCAAAAATATTTTTGACCTAAATTCCATTACTTTGAGCCTCAGGGTTATCACGTATCTGTTATTTCACAAGATGGCTTCTTTTCTTTTTTTTTTGCGGTACGCAGGCCTCTCACTGTTGTGGCCTCTCCCGTTGCGGAGCACAGGCTCCGGACGCGCAGGCTCAGCGGCTATGGCTCACGGGCCCAGCTACTCCGCGGCACGTGGGATCTTCCCGGACCGGGGCACGAACCCGTGTCCCCTGCATCGACAGGCGGACTCTCAACCACTGCGCTACCAGGGAAGCCCTTTTTTTTTTTTTTTTAACTGAAAAAAGTCAGCAGGAAACTACAGGCTAGGTATCAAGTTAGCTGGCTTGCCAAGCTTTTGATGAAAAACATCTTACATGATGGTGGTATATAGTGTAAACAAGTCCTGAAGATCAAGTACAAAAGTAGAGCCCCAAACTCCTTTCTGGGCTACTGCACACGCTAAGAAAACTGCTCTGGATGCCAACATTCACTAATAATGTGACTTCCGGGACATTTGCTTGAAAATGTCATAACTTGAACACAACACTGCTTTGACTTCTCTCTCTTTCCCGCTGCTTTATACCTCACTTGTTAGAGAGGGAGAGGATTTACGCTTATAGGTATGCTATATGCTTTTCTCCTTAATAACTTGTATTAAAGATGGGCAGGGAAATAGGAGGAACAGGTGGAAAACAGTGATTTCTGTGAAGTCTGGTTTGATCTCTAGTTTCATTCAGCAGGCTTCTCTGTGCTTCTCTTCAATTAGCACAACGAACTGAGGCCACAGTAAAAATGCCTTGGATAATTGTACAAAAAGAAAACTAATGTTTGTAGTCTATCCACGCACCAGAACTCTGACTGCCTGAAAGTTCTAAACTGAAATAACAGCATTAGGGATGTTGAAAGAGTCAGCCTGCAACTTTGAAGGTCAGCTTTAGATGCCAAACACTGAGGATGTTTGTGTCCCCAAAACTCACTAAGATAATGTGGCTTGGGGCCAATCCAAGTAAATTACTCCCTATAAAGGCTGTGGGTTAGATCTGCAGAGTTGCCATGTGTCTGGGGATCTGTGTTTGGGATTAAAGTAACGTTTAAATATATAGCTGCGATCCAAGACTTGATTTGGACAATTTTTGTATTTTAGATTCCCTTTAAGAGTCAATATGTTTTTCAGCGTAGCAAAATAGGTTTCTTGTCATCCACTTAAAAAGTGATATGCAAATAAAATGTCAAAAGTAACTGCTGATGGTTCCTGATGCCTAATTTAGAAAGATTAGAAAGAAATTATAGATTGAAGAGAATTATTCTACATAGGAGAGCAAAAACTCAAAATTAAAACCAACCTCAGAGTGGAAGACTAATATTTTTCCTGATGAACTTATATAAGCTAAATTAAAAATTAAGTCATATCTTATGTAAACACCAGCCTTTGACTGAAAATCAACTGATCATGAGGCCAAAGTGGATCAAAAAAAGGTCTGCGTCCCCTTAACAGAAGACAGTTACAAAGAGAATGAAAGCCCATCCTTTTGAAGTATGGGGAAAAGCTGTGTGAGTCCTACCACTGAGAGAGAGAGAGAGAATGGAAACACCCAATGCAAAACTTCTCAGAAATTTGAACCCGATTCCAACCTGGGCCTCAGGAACAGAGGTAGCAGCAATGGGGGAGAGAGGAAAGGCAGAAGGGTTAATAATCCTTTGGTCTACAAATCTGACTTCCTAATTCTGGAACTTTTAACATCCGTGGCTATATTATGGTGGTGTTTGTATACATATGTATATTTGCGTGCGCACACGCGCGCATGTGTGTGTGTGTTTATTTCTTAATTCCAAAACAACATTCAAACTTTGAAAATCCATGATGAAAATGCCTAAGGTCATAACATAATATACGTGCCAGATTTCTGCTGAAAAGTTGTCTCTAAATAACAGGAAACTTCAATAGCAACAACAATCACAACAAAGACATTAGATTTGGGTTATGTTAAAGACTTCTGCTCAACTGTTAAACTGTTTTCTAAGAATAGTTTCCAGAAGGGATTAAATACGTCTCATCTTCTGATACTGATACTCTGTGTGTAAATAACAACTAAGGACTACAAGGATAAGAAAGAGTAATGACCGTTTATATTGTCTAAGTCAAAGAAGAACTTTCACACACGTGACCTTGTTTAAATTTCAGAACAGCCTCAGGAAGTAAATGTCTCCTTTTATTGCTGATGAATACTCCTTCTGAGAGGTTAAGTAACTTTATTAGTCTTATCCAATTAGTAAATGACAGTTTAAGTGTCTAAACTTCAAATTCAAGGTTCTATTTAATTACATAATGCTACTCTGGAATTTTTCAGGAATAAATTATGAAGATACATCTCTGACTCATAAATTTAGTTTTTCAAAGAGACAGGAATAAACATATTGTTCTTATCCATTTTTAGAAGGATATATAGCTATGAACAAGGTGTAAAATCCTATTAACAATTATAATTCATGCACTGAATATGGGGTTTGGCTAGGTAACCCTTAAGGGACCTTAAATTCTGTTATTTCCAAGCATCTAGAGCAGTTCTGTTTAACAGTATTTTTTGCTGTGACGGAAATGTTCTATTTCTATACTGTCGAATATCATAGCCACTAGCCACACATGGCTAGTGTGACTGAGAAACTGAATTTTTAAATTAAATCAAATTAAATGTAATTTAAATAGCCACATGCAATGAGTGCCCAGTGCACTGGACAACACAGATCTAAAGCATCATACATTATACTATAAACATTCAACATAGCAAATATATCCACCTAATTTCAATTTTCCGCAAAGACTGTTTAATAATAGCTAAATTGTACTATCTCTAGACACTTCAAAATAAATTTTGGGAAAGACACGTGGATCACCATTTCCCTTTATCGTAGGTCCTGAGGAACATGAAGACAACCAATACTGCTGTTTAGACTACAAATAAGATCTTTTGTTTCATTTAACTGAAGGTGATAATTTTGTCCTCGGTCAATTACAATATAGAATCTACGGTCACATTAACATAGAACAGTAATAGATAAAGGCACTTTTGCATGCCTGCAACTAGAAAAGAGGGGAATGGGGAATGGGAAAGTCCTATAAATACTAACAGACCTGCACTTCACAACAGACAAGGTGTAACGATCTCTTTCCACGAGGTGACCTACTTAAAAACAAACACAAGGCAAAGTCCACAGGGAAGGGGGGGCGGTCAATGTCTAATAGAATCCACCTGAGTGTATGACTGTTGCCAAACCACGTAAAGCCATCTGCAACATGTGAACCAACACTGGCCAGAAACTCGGTCATTAAAAACTTAGTGAATTATTTCAAGGCACAACATTAGAGCAAAGAACTTGAACATACCTGATTTGAAGACATATTCTCAACTTTCATTAGTGATGAATAGCTCCTAGAAGAAAAAACACATTTAAAGGTTATTTGGCTGCCAAGTAAGTATCTCATGAACCTTTACCAGGTATCTAGCAATGCTGAGGGCCTTTCGAAGAAAATATAATCCCTGCTGAGCTCAAGGAGATTGCAACATATAAAGGATAAATATCTATGACAATAAATAACATGTGCACTACACTTTATAGTTTACAAACACGCTTGCTCACTCATATCATGTCACTTCCACAATAACGGTGAGGTGGTGGCATTATTCAGATGAGGAACTTCATCTATAGCCAAGAGCAGACATGATTCAGACCTGAAGTACACTGTCCAGACTATAGATCTACAGGAATTCAAAAGAAGAAACACATTAGTGTGGAAAGGGCTGTCGGGGTACTCTTCTCAGATGACGTGTAACCCAAACTGAGCCTGACAAGTAGGGAGGATGACTGAGGAGGGCAGATGCAGAGATCGGCATGAGCAAAGGCAAAGAGATGGTACTTACAATGACATTTCAAACCAACTCAAGTGGAGTCTGAAAGCCAAGTAGCGGGAAATCAGGCCGGATGTGTGGGGCTGTTACCTTGTCCTAACTATGTGAGTCAAAGCAGTGCGATCAGCAGGAAGCCACAGTACACGATTGAGTAGACAGATGAGATTCGACAAGTATTTATTAAATATCCATGATGTATAAGACCCTGCGCTAAGCCTGGGGAGAAAATGGAATGGGAAGAAACGAGAAAATGATGAATAAGACAAAGCCTAACCCCAAAAAGCTTATCAGGAAAGGAAATAAGACCTATTCAGTAGTGGCTACATAAAAAGTTCTAGTAAAAATGCATAAAGAGACAAAGGAAAGTAAGACCACATAATACCAGTGTTTTAAAAAGTGTAATCCGGGGACTTCCCTGGTGGTGCAGTGGTTAAGACTCCGTGCTCCCTTGGGACTTCCCTGGTGGCGCAGCGGTTGAGGGTCTGCCTGGCGATGCGGGGGACGCGGGTTCGTGCCCCGGTCCGGGAGGATCCCGCATGCCGCGGAGCGGCTGGGCCCGTAAGCCACGGCCGCTGAGCCTGTGCTCCGCAACGGGAGAGGCCACAGCGGTGAGAGGCCCGTGTGTCAGAAAAAAAAAAAAAAAAAGACTCCGTGCTCCCAAGGAAGGGGGCCTGGGTTCGACCCCTAGTTAAGGAACTAGATCCCACATGCATGCTGCAGCTAAGAGTTTGCATGCCACAACTAAGGAGCCGGCGAGCTACCACTGAGGAGCCTGCAAGCCACAACTAAGGAGCCGGAGAGCCACAACCAAGGAGCCTGTGAGCCGCAACTAAGGAGCCCATGTGCCACAACTAAGGAGCCCACCTACCACAACTAAGTAGTCTGCCTGCCACAACTAAGACCCAGTGCAACCAAACAAATATATTTTTAAAAAATAAATTTAAAAACATAATCTGTAGCAGAGACAAGAGAGGGAGAAGGGCAATTAAGGCAAGGAGACCAGTTAATGACAACGGTACTTACCATTTACCAAGGACCCTTTACTTGCTAGGACCTGTATTATGTGCTTCATAAATTACTGCTCATCCCCACAACCACCTCCTAAGGCAAGGGATAGCAGCAGGCCCACTGTACACGCAGGAGTTACGGAAGCTGTCCAAGGTGTCACAGCGAACAAGTGGGGAGGGAGGTTTTGAACCCAGATCTGACTCCCAAGCTTATAGTCAGGCCATCGTGCTCCAGTCCACCGCAATATCCCACCTTGAGGGCATGAACGCAAGGGGTTAACGGCTGTGCCGGTAAGAAGGGATAAATCTGAGAGGAATCAAAGATGACACCAAGGTTTCTAGCATGAGTGATCTGAAGGAAATAATGTTACAACTGAGAGAAATGGGAAAATGTTGCAAAGAAGATGTTCTTGGTTTAGGACAATGTCACACTTGAAGTGATGGTGGGACAACCAAGTAAATATGAACTGTAGAAACTGGAAACTGAGGACCGGAGGGAAGGAGACTTGTCACGGACAGAGACAATGAGCTGGGAGACACCCAGAGAGAGATAGTAATGATGCTTGTAAGAGTCAGTGATATCAATAAGATATAAATGGACAGATAAGATCAATAAGTTGCATGAGCAGAAAGAGAAAGCCATGTTGATAAAAAAGTAGTTAAGAGCAGAGAACCTCACTTCCAACTTTATTTTAAAATCACCTGTGAAGATTAAAATATCTTCAAGCGCCCAGCTGTGGGCATCTACGAGCCAGGTTCAGGAACCACAGGGTCCGAATTCCCACTCATATGAAAGCAACACACAAATTACCCTTCTTTAGGCCACATACCTCCTCTGCGCTCCAACCCATTAATCCAACTGCCTGCCTGACTTTTTCGGGGGATGCCTCAAAGACACTTTCAGATTCCTATGTCCATACCCAACTCATGGTCTTCCCTCCAACCAAAAACAGTTTGGTTCCTCTCCAGCACTTCCTAGCTCAAAGAATAGCACCACTATCCATTCCATTTCACAAGCCAGAATCCCCGCAGTCATTCTTTTCCCTGCCCCTCCTCTGAATCCAATCTATTTTCAAATCCTCGTCCAGTTTTGAAAACTATTTCTCATTGGTCCAGTTCTCTCTGCCTCCACATCACCACCACAGCCCAAGCGACTAACTCTGTCATGTGGACAGCTACTGGCCTAGCCACTCCCCTACCTGGCACCTTTTCCAATCAGGTCAGTCACATGACCTTTCCAAAACACAAACCTCATCACACTACCCCTGACTTAACACTCTCCAATGACCTCACAAAACCCTCAGCCTGAAGACAAACATGACCAACAAGGCCCTGCTGGACTAGCCCTTGATCCCTGGGCTCCCTCTGCTCCAGACGTTTGGGTCGGCTTTTAGTCCTGTGATGTGGTCTTTGCACACACGGTTCCTTCTGCTTCCGGTACTCTTTCCACTGCCCCTGCCCTTTTAACTAGCAAAATAGTTTGGATCTTAGCTCAAGCATCACTGTACCAAGGGAAGCTAATTTCAGTTACTCATTCACCTGTAATGTACTGACGAGTCACTCACTGCATGTGCAAAGCACAGGGTCGCATTCAAGGAGATACAGGAATGCAGAAGTGCTGCTTTGAGGGAGCTTATGATTAAAACAAAGACCTGTGGCACAACACAGCATTATTTATGGAAGGCAGCAGCAGTAGTGTGTGAGAGAGAAACAACAGGAGGTACAGTGAAAGCAGCCACTTCTACACCTGACCATACCATCCTTTCAATCACTGGTCTCACCATTACCTCCTTGACACGTCGCCAATAAACCCTTCCGACAAGTTTTCTCCTTCCTAATATCCCAGGAAACCTACAGTCGTTCCTCAGCACTTACAGCATGAAATTCTGGACTAAACAAAACCTTTTAAGTCACTCTCCAATGTACCTAATTTTTCATTCTTTTATTTGCCTTTGAATCACCTTGACTCAGGTCTTGCCAACCTGGGCATTCTTTGCCTCACAGACAGCAAGCTACAGTAGAAGTGTGGACTTCAGAATTACAGACTTGAGTTTGAATTCCTGCTTTGCCACTGATCAGCTATAAACTTTCACACGTTAACCTCCTTGCTAAAGTAATCTCTGCTCCCAAATCAAGTTCATGCCAATTCTCAGACTGACGACATGCTTACCTGTGACTTGCCATCTTATCTGGGTCTTGTACTTTCCTGACTTCAATCACCTGAACCTCAGGTTCCAATTCTGATCTCTGAGACTCCCAAATTTAAATATCCCCATCTCAGGTAAACTCAGGCCCTACCCTTGGTCTTTTCTGATCTGTTATTGACTTGCTTGTTTCTTCCAGTTTCAATGTTCAGATGGTGAGCTTCATTTTGATGTTAATAGATGTTTGTTACAGTATGACAAAAGCCACGTAAGTGAATACAAGATTATACCCTGAGAAAAGCATAATTTGAAAAGAGACATGTACCACAATGTTCACTGCAGCACTATTTACAATAGCCAGGACATGGAAGCAACCTAAGTGTCCATCAACAGATGAATGGATAAAGAAGATGTGGCACATATATACAATGGAATATTACTCAGCCATAAAAAGAAACGAAACTGAGTTATTTGTAGTGAGGTGGACGGGCCCAGAGTCGGTCATATAGAGTGAATTAAGTCAGAAAAAGAAAAACAAATACCGTATGCCAGCACATATATATGGAATATTAAAAAAAATGGTACTGATGAACCTAGTGGCAGGGCAGGAATAAAGATGCAGACGTAGAGAATGGACTTGAGGATATGGGGGCAGGGGGCAGGGGGGAAGGGGAAGCTGGGACAAAGTGAGAGAGTGGCATGGACATATATACACTACCAAATGTAAAACAGATAGCTAGTGGGAAGCAGATGCATAGCACAGGGAGATCACTTGGTGCTTTGCAACGACTTAAGAGGGGTGGGATAGGGAGGGTGGGAGTGAGGCGCAAGAGGGAGGGGATATGGGGATATATGTATACATATAGCTGACTCACTTTGTTGTACAACAGAAACCAGCCCAGCATTGTGTAGCAATTTTACTCCAATAAAGATGTACTAAAAAAATAAATAAACACAGCAGGTAAGCAGTCTGTAACCATGAATCCAACTACTGAGATGAAACTGACTACGACACATTGGAGGGAGCCACGGACACTCTTCCACACAATCTGTGGTGTCCCCTGGGAGACTCACAGGTACCTGCCTGAAGGACCTCTCCAAAAACTACATGGAGACTGAGTAGAAGCTGTTCTGCTTCTCTAACTTTCCAGGCAAGGTCACTTCTAAGGCTCTGACTACTGTCAAAACCTATGTAGACTCTCTTTTGCTACATCCTCTTACTCTATGTATGGCTTACAGTGTAGCAGGTACGGAAAGAACATGCCATGTGAGGCTTCCTCCCTACACCTAACCCTATACAAAGATTCTCTAAACTAAAATCCCACGAGATACTAGGCTGACAGGGCAAGTGTGAGCTAAAAAGCTGTCTAAAGAGCTAACGAACAAGATGGGTAAGTGAGAATTAATATGTGAAGCCTAAATAAGGGGAACTTTTCATTATTGTGTGAATGAATAAAATGGTTAATAGAAGATGTTAATATACTGCTATCATTTAGCCTCCACACTTTGGCGTCCTCCCAAACAATCTAAATATTTCTTCAAAAAACTACCTAAAAGGATGATCTTTATGTAGACCTATCTACATTATCAGATCACTGGAATTTCTGCACACCGAGGACAAGGGTAAAGCACTCATTTGCAAGAACAAGATGCAGTTCTGTCTCCAGGGGCTGCTGCTCTTTTCATCTGAGAAGGAAGTTGGTGCCTTCTGTGCTGTGGGCTTTGTTCTGTTCTGATCCCGAGGCTAATGGATATACTCCTGACTAGAGTTCAGAGAACCTGGACTATACAATGACAATTCCATCCATTTTTTTCCTCCTGGTAGAAATTAGAAATGAAAAGCTTACTGCCATTCCTGTTCAGAAAGTTGAAAAAAGGAGTCTAGAGTCTAAATAATGGCTTTAGAATTGGAAAGAAGTTGGATATCTTCTGGGTGTGAGGCTGTTAAGGATTTCTTCCCTGAAATCATCTGGAAGCACTGGGGATACTGTCCAGGATGAGACTATCTTCTCAGTTTGTCTGTAGAATCCCCTGAAGACTCAGAAGTCAATTTTCTTCAGCTATCACAGCAACTAAGTTGGACATTCCTTACCAGATGGTCCAAACAAAAGAATCAACTGTTGGTGAAATTTAATGGTATTTTCCTCGTCAGAAAGGCAAGTGAAAGACTTCAGAATGAGAAGATTTTGTAGGCATAGCCTTTGATCTCTCGGGTGGAAGAGTCAAAGACAGAAATTAAAGTGATGCTAGCGCTGCAAGTGTATAAAAACAGGTTATAGAACAAGTCCGGAGCTTAGAGCTTTTTGCTGGAGCTTCACAGAAGCTGCGGAATGGACTGAACAGAGGGCAGAAGAGAGTGGTAACAGTGTGTGTGAGCTTGAGAATCAGACCGAGACAAGCTACGTGCCTCTGAGCGAGTTACTTAACTGCTCCTCAGTCTGTTTCCTCTTCTACAAAATGCAGATGATCAAAACATTTGCCTCACACGGCTACTGTTAGGATTAAATGAGATAATGCAGTAAAGCACAATACAGTGTCGGGCAGATGACAAGTGTCTAAAAATGTTAGCTAATCTTTCTTATTGAATGTTATAAGTAGGGACTTCCCTGGTGGTCCAGTGGGGAAGACCCTGCACTTCCAGTGCAGGGGGCCTGGGTTGCATCCCTGGTCTGGGAACTAGATCCCACATGCATGCCACAGCTAAGAGCCCACACGCTGCAATAAAGATCCCGAGGGCCACAACTAAGATCCGACGCAGCCAAATAAATAAATATTAAAAAAATATGAAGACCCTACAAGTCTAAAAAAAAATGTTGTAAATAAATTAAGTGACATTATATTTCTAACATATAATATTATGTCTCTAAACAACATTACGGTAGAGTTTTAAGAGGCACAAAAAGGCATGTTTTCAATTTTTTCTCCACTCCGCACTAAAAGCAAAAAGAATAAACTAGTCTAAATCCTGTATCACTCAAAATTCCACACATTTTTCAAAACTAATGGTATTGGTAATTTGTCTTTCACTCACAGCACAAAATGGACTCACAATTCTACGTCAAATTGAACGTTTAAATCTCTGCATCAGTCTGTCTCATGCTGGCAGCTTATAACTTGGGGTAACACTTCCGGAGTTCTCCATTTGAATATTGTATTGTAAATGCAGTCACTCACCCTGTTTTAGCAGAACCCCCAACAGGGACGCGTGCATATGGATAACGAATAAATACCAGTGCTTGATCATAAAACCTCCACTCTGGCCCAATGATCTTTCTAATAATCCAGGGTATTCCAAGGAAACTAGGTCAGGACAGGGCAAGACAGCTCATATTGATCCTATACCCTTCCCAAAGGAATCAATAACTTTTTTTTTTTTGGTATACTTATCACAAATGAAATCTATGGAAAATAGTGGGAAAAAATCTAGGAATTCTGTGACTAGAAGTGGCAGGATTAATTTCCTTCTTTCTCAAAGAAAAACTGAGGCCCCTTCAGGTATAGTACTATGCATCTATAGAGAGTCAGTATAGTAGGCAGAATAATGATCTTACTCAAATGTCTACATTCTCATCTCCAGAACCTGCGAATATGTTACCTCACATGGCAGAAGGGACTTTAATTAAAGATCTTAGATGGGAAGGGGTGGGATAGGGGGGGGGGGAGGGAGGGAGACACAAGAGGGAAGAGATATAGGGATATATGTATATGTATAGCTGATTCACTTTGTTATAAAGCAGAAACAAACACACTATTGTAAAGCAATTATACTCCAATAAAGATGTTAAAAAAACCCCAAAAAACATAAAACTATACAAAAACAAAGCTCATACGTATCTTCTTTAGACTTCACCCTATGGAAACGTAGAGTTGTAATAAAGAGAAGACTATAAATTGTCATGAAGACTGCTTGACACAGTGAGAATGGAGCTGATAACTTGGCACTCTGAAAAGGCATGGAACCTGACTTGGTGAATAATAATGAGGAATGGAAAAAGAGAGTGGATAAGGTAAGATGATGAAAGTACAATGGTTCATTGTGTAATACAAGCAGGAAGAGAAAAGTACTTCATCTCTAGAAGTTCTTGTGAACCTGAGAGCATTGAGATAAATGACATTTGCAAGGACTTCTGGGAAGATGCTGAAATGAAAGTGCCCGGAATGCTGTCCAGCTACTACTCAGCACTGTTTTTCTAAAAACCAATAGATTCCAGAATTCATTCCCTTTCTGTTAATAGAGTTCCTGTGATTTCTCTCCATTTGTGTCTGATTCACTTATTTAAATTTAATTTAAAAGAGGTTTGATGTTCAATTTACAAAACTGAATAAATTTTTATCATTTTAAAATAAAATTAAAAAAGATCTTAGATGGGGGGATTATCACGCAGTATCTGGGTGGGTCCAATGTCATCACATTGGTCCTTAGAAGCAGAGAAGGCTGTGGTCAGAGAGGGGGCCGTGACTATGAAGGGGCAGAGAGATGCACTGTTGCTGGCCTTGAAGATGAGGAAGGAGTCACAAGCCAAGGAGTGTGGGTGGCCTCTAGGAGCTGGAAGGTAAGCAGATTTTCTCTTAGAGCTCCAGAAAGAAACACAGCCCCGCAGACACCTTGATTCTAGCTCAGTGAGAACTATTTTGAACTTCTAACATGAAGAACTGTAAGATGATAAATCTATGTCATTTTAAGCCACTAAATTTGTGGTAATTTGTTATAGTAACAATAGAAAACTAATACAATCAGTATTTTCATGGCCTTATACACTAGAATTTCAGGATCCAAGATGTGTTTTAACTACTATTTATTGTTTAAAAATGCTGTGTTTTGGAGCAGGCCTCTCCACATTAATTACTTTAAACTTTCGAAATCTATAAAAGAGAGGTTTTAAAAACAGCTTTTAAGAGTTACTAACACTGGCCTTTAGAGCTGAGACATTTTCATTCAAATACCATAGCTAATGTAAAACACTCAATACAGTATCTCTTCTTTACCTGAAGATGTTTACAAACCAAACTAAGATTAAAATTAGTTATTTTATTTTGTACACTCTCATATCCTGCCCCTATAAAAGGGCAATTCATTTGACCAACACATTAGCATAAATGCCTTATTCTAACTCATTTAAGGCTTGGAGCTCGTTATATGTCCCTTCATCTACCAGAATACCAGAATACACTTGTCCCTCGGAATCCATGGGGGATTGGTTCCAGGACCCCCCTCAGATACCAAAACCTGCGGATGCTCAAGTCCCTTATAAAAATGGCATAGTATTTGCATATAACCTACATACATCCTCCCATATACTTTAAATCATCTGTAGATTACTTATAATATCTGACACACTGTAAATGCTGTGTAAATAGTCATAAAGGTAAATGCTATGTCAACAGTTGCCAGCACAAGGGAAATTCAAGTGTTGCTTTTTGGAACTTTCTGGAATTTTTTCCACCCCCAAACATTTTTGAACCATGGTTGACTGGACCCGTGGATACACAGGGCCAACTGTACCATTCTTAAGGGTTAATCCCTAATTAAATCAGCAGTGAAGACTCTCCAAGGTCAACGTCAGTACCTTAACTCCAACATACCTAAGTTCGTCCATCTCCCTCTTCTTTTTCATCTCTTCCTTTTCTTTCCTTTTCATTTCCTGAATCTGGGCTTTCTTCTCATTCCTCTCTTCGCGGTCTCTGCATTCTTTCTCTGCCTCTAGGTCTGGGAACCGCTCCATTTTGGTCTTTTCCAATCGGTTCAGGATCTCATTCACTTTCTTCTCTACTGTCACAATTTTCACCTTGAGGGAGATGGAGAGAAAAAAAAATACTGAATCTTTATGTTTTTTTTCTTCCCCCCAGAATAGGGCAGGGCTTTCCAGCAGCTTAGCAACCCAGCTTGATTCCCTTTAGGAAAGAGACATCGCGCTGAGTCCTCAACAGCAGAGACAGACACCCACTCAGCGCCAGGGCACTGCCACCTCCGGTGATGTTCACACTTACGTCCTTCTGCCTGTGAAAGCCTATCTGTCCCACATCCATGTCGGCCGTTTTCTTCAGGTTAGACCACGGGGTATAAACCACATTGACGTTGTTCATCTTGCAGCCTGCCAAGAGAGACTGTCTTCAACATGTGGGGAGGAGGACGCTGAGCAATGCATCCCCTCACCCACAATTGTCACCATAATCCAACAAAGGAAAAGGCTGAGAATGAACAAGCCACCAAGTGTTTGAAACCACAAAATACTTTTTTTTTAAAAAAGAAGCCACCCACAAAGGCAAATGGGAAAGCCGACCAGCAATTCAAGCTAAAGTATTCTGATGAAAAGCAGGGTCAAGAGATCAGCTTCAGGGATCTTTGAGACTCTCTAAAATTGAATGCAAATTTTATTGTATGTGTTTTTAAACAGAAAAGGACCAAACAGGTTTCCCCAGATTCTCAAAGGAGCCCTTGATGTAACAAAGGGTAAGCAGCAAGATAAAGTGATTCAAGACACCGGCTTCTACCCTGCACTACCACAAACCAGCTGTGTCGCTTTGGGAAAATCCCCATGGCTCCTGGCGTCTCATCTGAAACATGAGGAAACTGGACTAGTTTAGTAGAGCTTTTTGGTTTTTGTTTCTTTAGCTGTGGAACCTCTTTTACCAAAGAAAACATAACAAAGTAATCAAAGCAGAGATGCTCTGGAGGAAAGGGGTGCCAGGTATCCTGCTCACCCCTCCTCCTCTCCCCTCACCACCCCCACTTCGTGTTTCCCCTCCACCCCTGACAGCCTCCCAGGCGGCTCTGAGAATCACAGTTTAATCACTGGTCCAGTGCTCTCTAAGGCCCTTCTAAATTAGATGGCAATACATTTCAATGGTTATTAAGTGAACATGTACACTGGGGAAATCTGGTGAACACGACCTTACCTAAGCGATCAGTTAACATCGCCAAAACTGGCAGCATGTGCCTCCTGACTGTAATGCACAAGACTTCACTTACATAGTATTCCTGCCACAAAATGCGTAATGTGGTCCTACTGAACAGGAAGCATCAGACCAAGCCAAAGTGGTCTCCACTCTAAAAGTGTCAACGTCTCGAAAGACAAAGAAGTGTCCAGATTAAAGGAGACCAGCGATACATGACAAGTGAATAGAACGTATGATCCTGGATCAAAAAAAAAAAAATGCTATAAAGTGATGGTAGTGGGACAACTGAAAAAACTTACATATGGACTCTGTATAACAGTATTCTACCGATGTTAAATTTCCTGAATTTGATCACTGTAATGCAGTTGCTTACGACAATGTACTTCTTAGGACATGCTGAACGGTCATGACGCCTGTGATTTTCTTTCAAATGGTTCAGCTAAAAAAACATTGCGTGAATTACAGGGAGAAGGCAAACAAATACGGAAAAACTGTTGATTCTAAATTTTCTTTCAACTTTTCTGTAGGCTTGAAATTTTTTTCAAAATTAAGTAAAAAAAAAAAAAAATCTCCATGTGCAAGGCACTGTGGGAGATACAAACACGGATCAGATGATGGATCCTGCCTTTGAAGGTTAAAGGAAGGCAGATAAGTACATAAATAATTTCAATGAAAATTAGAAGTTATCAAGTGATATTGGAAAGATACAGGTAAAGAGTTAAGGGAGTTCAGAGAGGGCAGTGGTCACTCAAAGTTGTAGGAAGGAAAAGGCTCCGTGGGAGAGGTTAAGTTCCTTAATTCTTAATTTCTTAAATTCAGCTTCCTCATCTATAAAATGAAAGTAATATCTCACTTCAGTAGAGCTGATAAATGAACAATTTGTAATGTTCTTGGCACAGTGCCAGGCATGTAATTAACATTCAATGCTAGCTGTTATTACTATTACTATAACTACAGTGTAGCCCTTGAACCTTAGCTCGAATCTAGACATGTGATGACTGAGCAGGAGTGTAACATTGAGGGCAGAGGGAACAATACAAGCAAAGGCACAAAGCAGGAAACCAGCAAATATCTGCTTTGGCTGGAGTATGAAATACGTGAAGGGAAACAAAGTCTGTGGTCAGATCAGAGATGCTTAAATGCCAGCTTAGGAAGTTTGGGTTTAACTGTAGAGGCAAGGTGAAGGGTGTCACAGACAGTGTCTAAGCTTTTAGAAAGTTTAATCTGGCAAGAGATTATAAAATGAATAAAGAAGAGGCTGACCAGATTCTATGACGACAAACAGCGCTGAAGGTGGTCAACCAGGGAGGGAAATATTTTAGTAACACAGTGACGCAAATGTAGTGTACTTAGCAAATCTCACAGCAAAGACAATCTTCTTCACTCCTCAGCATCCTCTGCTATTGACTCCTGAGAGTGAGACGCTTGGGCTTAGCTCCTTATGAGTGAGCTATCCCTGTGGAAGGCTGAAGAGGAGAGAAGAGTGATTCAGTGATTCAATGACTCTTCCTCTTTTCTGTTTTCTTTAGAACTAGTAAACTATAAAGGGATTAAGAAGAAAGAGGCTGGGCCAAGAATAAGAGCAAGAGTCCAAAGCTCTTTTAATAAATTTACATCTGCTAGCCAGGGGCACGAAAACACATTAAAGAGGTTGCAACACACAAGGAAGGAGGATAATGACGTAGTTTCAGTTTTTATTATTTTTCTTTCCATAACCAAAGATTTTAACTGGAAATCTGAGGAGCTCTTCTTCTACTCATAAAAATGCAATGTCCTAAAACTAACTGCAATTTAATGATTTATGGAGTTGAAAATGAATGGCTCTGTAAGACAAGACTTCCAGTTTCTTTGGCTAGGCACCTGATTCAGTAAAGCTGCCGAGTGAGATGCAGGAAGCACAGCCTAAGTGATGGGGGAGGGAGCACACTGCCCAGCTCTTCTATAATCACCAGCTCCCGGTACCTGCCGTCGTCTCTGTGTCTGCCCCATGCTTATCTTCTGTGCAAACCATATTTTTTCTGAACCCTCTGGATCACCCCTCAAATTTATATCAAACCAAACTTACCTCTACCTTATCTAGGTCCATGTCCTACAACTAAAATCCAGTCTACTAGCTCATTCCTAGCAGAATACCATCACCCAGCTCCCCTTTATAACTGCCTCCTCCACTCCATTAATTGTCCTTCTTGACCTATACTGACTTGACAAATTAAATCTTGTACAGTAGAACTAAACCAGCATCAAGGCCAATACTGCAGGTCCTATTTAAAACATGGAGGCCAACTGTCTCAACACTCTTTGCACATTAGAATCACCTGGAGAGCACTGTAAAAATACTGATTCTAATGCATCACCCTAGACATATTATTTAAGATTCTCTGGGAGATAACAAGATCAACGGACTTGACACCTTCACAATTTACAGAGAGAAGAAAGTATGGAAGGAGAGAAGGAAAGAAAGAAAAAGTAGGAAAGAGTAATTGGGAGACTTGGGTTCTAGAATCTAGTAACAAGTAATGGAAACAAAGACATCAACCAACATTACAAATAAAGCCATGAGACACATCTCTTGCTTGGCAATTAACATAATGTAATTTCCAAAAGTCTTTCTACAAGTAACCTTAGGGGTAGGCAGGTCTAGACAATTTTCTTTTTTTTTTATTAATTAATTAATTTATTATTTATTTTTGGTTGCATTGGGTCTGTTGCTGTGTGCGGGCTTCTCACTGTAGTGGCTTCTCTTGTTGTGGAGCATGGGCTCTAGGTGCACGGGCTTCAGTAGTTGTGGCACGTGGACTCTAGAGCTCAGCCTCAGTAGTTGTGGCGCACGGGCTTAGTTGCTCTGCGGCATGTGGGATCTTCCCAGACCAGGGCTCAAACCCGTGTCCCCTGCATTGGCAGGCCGGTTCTTAACCACTGCGCCACCAGGGAAGCCCTAGACAATTTTCTATTCAAGGTAAAGAAAACAGGGTAAAAAAGGCTTGAGATAGGGCCATGAAAATTAGAGGGGCTGGGAGGTTGGCTTTCAGTTCTCTGACAGGTAGTGCAACTGCCATCTTAAAGAACAAAACAGGGGAAAGGCATATTACATGTCATTCCCTTGACTCAAGCTAAAGTCAGTAATATGTTCTCTAAGATGTAATCCATTTCAGACACAGAGAAAGTGGTGCTAATTCTGAAAACACCTCTAGGAAAACTGACCTTGAATGCTATTGGCCTTCACAAGATGGGCACAGTCCATCAGTACTTCCTTTGGAATGTCTTCTATTTTCTCCCCCTGAAACACAAGAATAAACCAAATGGTCCACTACCTTGTCACTGATCAATACTGGAGCACTTTTATAGGGCTTTGCTACCTTACTAGGCACCATTTTATTAAAAGCAGAGGCTCTTCAACTGTATTTCAAAACATTGAAAAACGAAGTCCATTGTGGAAATGTTTAAGAGAAGGCAGTAATATGGAAAATCCTGACTTAATAAGTGGGGAAGAAAACAGGGTATGAAAGAAAACTACTAAAATATTAACTGTATTTATGTCTGAGTAATTTTTCCCTCTTCTCTTTCTTACTTTTAGAAACCTTGTGGAGAAATGGTGCCTATTTTTGGCAATGGGAAGTCTTCTTAGCTGAGGTCCCTACAAACTTGCTCTCAAGAGACATCTTATAGTTTTGGGTCTCCATGATCTGGTAGGTCATCTACCCTCGGCATTAGTCAGGAACCAAGCTCCTGGTGTGTTAGATATAACCTTCTACCGTAAAAGAGAAAAAATACTGCTTCATTCTCTTTACAGATACTGTATCAAAGTCAAAGCTGAATAAGCAAAGCCATTCCAAAAGAATAAAAATATCTGAGGCAAGAGCTAGTGGAAATCAACTCAGCCCTTGGCTGTTAGGCATGGGATTACTGAAGCACTTCTGTCTGGGAATGCAATGTTTTATCTACCTAAATATTTGAGATAAATTAAGTTTATTCCATTAGGTTTCTATTTTTTTCCTTATTTTAAATGTTTCAAAATGGAAATCTCAATTACCTAAATTTTCACCAAAAAATACGTGATTTAAGTTTGTCACTACGTTAACGCCACATCTCATCCTGTGAGATTCCCTGACCACTTAAACAGAGGAATCTGAATTTACCATCTTGATAACACAATGTCATCATCATGAGTATCAACCTTTACACTAGGCTCTAATATAGTGATAGTGATGCCTTCAGGGGCATCTAAAATACACAGAAGCTGACTGACCCTATACTAAATAAATCAAATAAATAATTAAAAAACAAAACAATAGCTACCACTTTTTGAATATCTGCTTTCTGAGTGCTAGGTACACTAAATAAATGGCCATATGAAATGGATAGTACTACGCTCACTTTGCCAATGAAGAAAATGAAGCTTAGCGAGGTGAAGCAACTAGGCCAAGCTCCCCAATATCTAGTAAGTGACAGAGAGATGAACCCAGGACTAACTAAAGCCATGCTCTAACAATTGGCCCCAGAGTGTGGTGCTTATGGAGTTTCTGTGGAAACGTACAGCTTCTTGGTCCTTGATATCAGGCTATGTCACAACATCCCTTCTTGCTACCTGTACCTATTGCTTTTCCTGAAGCAATAGCCTCTTCTTGTTTTGCTACTTCTAATATAATATGAGCAGACCAAATAAAATAAAATAAAATAATTCAGCTTAGCATTATGCATAAAGTCAGAGTAAACAAACTCTGCATGGAGAGTGTAAGGTACTCTCCACATGTAAAGGCCAGAATTTCGACTGTGGGCTTTGTGCCATCTGTGTTAATGAGATAAGCAACCTCTTGATAAGTGAGATTTTTTCTATAGGTTTTCAAAAATCAAATAAGCCTAGGAAAAAAACACTTGTTGAATATCCATGATCTTCAAGGCTTGGGTTGAATTCACCTGAATTTGACAAAGAAAGAATGAACACACATAGTGCTTAGCATGTGCTAAGCACTGCTAATAATGCTTAACTGAAGCATTATTCTAAATGCTTCAGTTATGCTAGCTCATTTAATTCTCACAACAACCCAGTAAGACAGGGACTGTCAGCTCCCTTTTACAGATGAGGAAACGCACACAGCTGAATAACTTGCTCAGAGTCGCACAGCTGGTAAGCAGCAAGGCTAGGATACAAAGCTGGCAGTTTGGCTCCAGAGTTTGGGTTCTGAACTACTTATACTTAGTCTCACTGCAACTCCAACACTTACTTGGTACCTACTAAGTGCAAAGGGCTATGTCGTTTACTGCAGGAGATCAACCAGGTAAAAGTTCCTTAAGGAGCACATATTTTTATCTAGCACATTATGTGCTTCCAAAAGAAAATGAAATCAAACTCCTGTTCAAACAAGGTCTAACTGGTGGTAATGTGAACTTGGGACTACCCACCGTTATTTCCATTTTCTGATGCAGCAGAACCCAAAGGAAAAAATTTAATCTGAACCAAAAGGAAAGTTGGGAACACCATACTTTATCTTCTCTAGACTTAAAATAGTTCCAAAATGGCAAGAAGTTGCCTAGGAAAATTCAGAATTTTGTTCCAGCAAAGAGCTCACAATCTTCCTCTTTTTTTTACAACACAGTTCTCAAAAATATAAATAGAATAAGTAAAGATGTGGTAGAATGTTTTACCTTGTTAGTAAATTAAGGAGTAAATATTATAAGCATAATGAAGTAGCATCTTGTATTTATTAAAATGGTCAAAAGGTTGCTATTTTTCTGAAGTTATAAAAACCCAAAAAGTTTTTGGAAAACCTATATATATCAGGTAGCATTTTAAACCAGCATAATATTTTCAAAGGGCAATCTGGCATAAAAGGAGTTATCAAAATGTTTTTATATTTTGACCCAGTAATTTCATTTCTGAGAACTACTCTAAAAAAAAAAAAGAAAGAAAAGAAAAGAAAAATAGAAAGTAGTTCATTAAAAAAATATTTCTTGTTGGGGATTCATAACGCTGAAAACTGTAAACAACTTATATTCTGACAACGGAGCTTTCAAATTAACTGTGGCATATTATCAGCTCAAAGCAGCCAGTCAAAACAATAAATATGAAAATAATGCAGTAACGTGAAAAAGTTTGTACACTGTCACTTTAAAAGTAATACAATCTTTTTGATATCGAGCTCCATGAGCCGTTCGTGTATTTTGGCGATTAATCCTTTGTCCGTTGTTTCATTTGTAAATATTTTCTCCCATTCTGAGGGTTGTCTTTTTGTCTTGTTTATGGTTTCCTTTGCTTAAAAGCTTTTAAGTTTAATTAGGTCCCATTTGTCTCCTTTTGTTTTAATTTTCATTACTCTAGGAGGTGGGTCAAAGAAGATCTTGCTGTGGTTTATGCCAAAGAGTGTTTTTCCTATGTTTTCCTCTAAGAGTTTTACAGTGTCTGGTCTTGCATTTAGGTCTTTAATCCATTTTGAGAAAACCATAATTCAAAAAGAGACATGTACCAGTGTTCAGTGTAGCACTATTTACAATAGCCAGGACATGGAAGAAACCTAAATGTCCATCGACAGATGAATGGATGAAGAAGATGTGGCACATATATAGAATGGAATATTTCTCAGCCATAAGAAGAAACGAAATTGACTTAATTGTAGTGAGGTGGATGGACCTAGAGTCTGTCATACAGAGTGAAGTAAGTCAGAAAGAGAAAAATAAATACCGTATGTGAACACATATATATGGAATCTAAAAAAAAAAAAAAAGGTTCTGAAGAACCTAGGGGCAGGACAGGAATAAAGACGCAGACGTAGAAAATGGACTTGAGGACACGGGGAGGGGGAAGGGTAAGCTGGGACGAAGTGAGAGAGTGGCATGGACATATATACACTACCAAATGTAAAATAGATAGCTGGTGGGAAGCAGCTGCATAGCACAGGGAGATCAGCTCAGTGCTTTGTGACTACCTAGAGGGGTGGGATAGGGAGGGCGGGACGGAGGCTCAAGAGGGAGGGGATGAGGGGATATGGGGATATGTGTGTGCATATGGCTGATTCATTTTGTTGTACAACAGAAACTAACACAGCATTGTGAAGCAATTATACTCCAATAAAAATGTATTAAAAAAAGTAATACAATCAACCAGGGGAAGCCAAGGTGGAATGCAGACTGAGACAAAAAAACCTAAGTGTGTGACAGACATCACTGAAAGGCATGAGGTGGGGAGGGCAGGGAGCAGCTGACAAGTAACTTTGAAAAACAGCATTTTGAATGGCAACCGTAATTGCACTGTACTTCAGTTGATAAAGTTGTTTCTTATGGGGATACAGGCTAACAAATCTGAAACCACTTCCATATATACTAGATTCAAATAAGCAAATGATGGTGGATGGTGGGAGCCAGGCTTCCCACTGTCTGAGAAGGAAGTAATAGATAAGCAAGGAAGGAATGTGAGAAAGGCCCCTGTAGTAATGGGTTCATCAGAGACACCAGTCATGTTTCGCTTACTGTAGATACAGAAAAAATTATGCATACAAATTACTAACATGGGTTAGTATACATACACCTATTTCCTAGCTCTGTCACATGAGAGGGCCTAGAAGCAATGATACTCTAGTAGCAATGAGCACACCCAGAGTCCAGATCTTGATTTCTAAATACCATTTCCCAATAAAAGAAACCAAAGTTCCTCAGAGAAATGGCTGATCCTAGAGCCGGAGCAGGGAAAATACAAGATGAGCCTGGAGCATCTTGAGTCTCAGAAAGTAAGGAAGTGCTCTAAAAGTAAAATGACAGGAGCATGTCAAAGGAACACAAGAGGGCTTCCCTGGTGGCACAGTGGTTGAGAGTCCGCTTGCCAATGCAGGGGACATGGGTTCGTGCCCCAGTCCGGGAAGATCCCACATGCTGCAGAGCGGCTGGGCCCGTGAGCCATGGCCACTGAGCCTGCGCGTCCGGAGCCTGTGCTCCGCAACGGGAGAGGCCACAACAGTGAGAGGCCCGCGTACCACCAAAAAAGAAAAAAGGAACACAAGAGCCAAGCTGGAAGAGTCAAAGCAGGGACAATTTTAGCAACAAAATGACACAGTACTGGATTATAACCCAAAGTAAAAAGTAAATGTGTGAGTCCATACTGATATAAGTAAATGACTGAATTAAATACATGGGAGAGAAGAGACGAATCTTCCTTACAGAAGAATTCCAAACAATATATGCAGGTACTACCCACACCAGGACGTGGAGCTCTCCCCCTTGAGTACAGGCTGGACTTAGTGACTTGCTTCCAAATAATAAAGTATGGGGGGAGAAGAGCAACTCTTTAGTGAAAAAACCTGACAAACATTACCCTGGCCAGGAGATCAAGGTTAACACCATCAGTGTTAAGTCCTATTAATGCATATACCCCTGACATGATGGGATAAGAGCACTTCACCTCTGTGCTATTGTTCCCCCAAACCCGTAACTCCAGTCTAATCATGACCTGATCAGTACTTCTCAAACTGTCAAGGTCATGACAAACAGGGAAAGAGTGACAAACTGTCACAGATCAGAGACTAGGCAGACATGACAACTAAAATGCAATGTGTGACGCTGGACCAGATCCTGGAACAGAAAAAGGACATTAATGGAAAAACTGGAGAAATCCAAATAGAGTGCAGATGTTAGTTAATAGTGATGCATCAGTTCTGGTTTCTCAGTTCAGACAAATCTACCACGGTAATGTTAAGATGTTAGCAATGGGGAAAACTGGACATGGGGTATATAGGGACTTGTACTACCTTTGCAACTTTTCTGTAAATCTAAAATCATTCCAAAATAAATATTTTTTAAAATACTCATAACAATTATCCATCCCTATGATTCAACTACACAAAAAACAATAGATGGATATAAAGACAGATTGGAAAAACAGTGGTTTTATGTGACTAGGGAACATTAAATCTTTTCCCTTTACCACGATAATGCTGTTTTAAACCTCCCAAAGCAGCCCCTGATAACTAGGAACATATATGCCCTTGGTGAGGCAGGAGAATCACATGAGTCTGAAAAAAAGGAACTACAACATGATCTTCCTAGAAGAAGACAAAGTCCAGTAGAGTCAACTGAAATGGCAGGGAGAGAGAGCAGAGGTGACACAGAGCACACCTCAGCTGGCAGGACAGGGCAGTGCTTCTATCTGGGAAATATGTGCTGTGTCCCCTTCCAAGCCTCAAAAATCACCAGCATTGCCCTTAGTGGTTTCCTGGGTTGGGGGAAGACAGCTCTTCGTTTGCAAATTTGTAGACTTTTGTACATATTTATTACTCTAAACAATTTATTTGCCCCAAGAAAAGGACAGAGGACAAGACAGGATGCTCATCACTACAGAAAAAGTCACGAATCCATGTTTAAATCCAGTTACCTTATGTAATCGAAGGTATACATGAGCCGAAGAGAGTTTGTCCACATGAAACCTACAAAGAATGAAAACCACTTTTAGCACGAGGTACAAGATAACCATCTCCTCAGGCCACCTGCATTTAAACCATCCCAATCCAAAAATATTAATTCAGTGCCTACTGCACACTGAGCACGATGGGGGGCAGAAAACAGTCACCACCTCCAAAGAGCTCACTATCAACTGGGAGAGGTGAGAAAAACATGGAAAGATCTGCAGCTGTGTGAGACTAAGTACCAAGACGAGTACAGGAGGCAATGAATGTTAAAAGCCCAGGGAAGGGTGATTTTTCAAGTGAGAAAGAGCTATCAGTGACCCAAGGCTTCAATGATGAACTGAGACTTGGTGGGTCCCAAGCTGAACCACGGGACTTAGAGCAAACACGGGGAAGAAATTTTAGGTGAGAAGAGAAGGGAATGAAAGAAGTCAGCAAGACTCCAGGGTTGCAAGCCTGGGAGACTCACAGGACCACTGACAGTAACATCTTACAGTTGGAGAGGGAGCCAGTTTGGCAAAAAGATGACAGGTTTGGTTTGGGAAATGTTGAGTTTCAAGCGATGGCAAAACAATCCAAAGAGAATGTCAATCACGGAGATGGAAGAGTCAGGTGAGGACTGAAGCAGTAAGCAGACCACATCACCAAATGGGTCAGACCAACAATTCATCCAGCCTTACCTCTGACAATGACACTAATACGCGTCTCCTGGGAAAGCACGGTGATTGCCCTTTATGACGCTGTCCTAAAAATATTCAGAATGCCCTCTCACCCCAGTATCCTAAATATACCTTTCATTAAGGCTCTATCATTCACCAATTTAATTAAATCTTTTAAAACTTACTTCTTTTTTCACCTAGTTCAACATTTGGGGATTTTAAGTTTTTCATATTTACAATTCACCAAATGAAGTTGACCCGCTCTTTCCAACACCCAGAGAGGCCTCCAGAATGCTAGTGATTTCTGTTAACTTTTCTCTTCCTTAGTCCTTTCCTTTCCAGACTGAGGAATGTTCAGTAAAATCCTAAGGAGGCAACGTCACGTCCCATTATGTATTTCTTTAGACATTTTCTTAGCATTAATGGATTTTTTAGAGCTGAAAATGGTTACACACTCATACCTGGTCCAAGATGTAGGCAGTGTGATTCTATATAAAGGTCAAGATTTGCTGTTTCTCATGCCCTCTTTAAAAAGGTTAAGCATCTTGCTAGTCACTTTGGATAAAGAAAATGTTTACACATTTTTGGCAGTCTATGATGACTCTAGGTCTTATGCCTAACCATTAGTGACAGCCAGAAATGAATACAACATCTTAGTTTGATTTATTTTTCTTCTGCTGGTTCATTTACTTATTTGCATTCCCACGTAAGAGATTCCTACTGATTATCATCTGCAGCTTGGCATTTTCTAGCCAGAAAATGTGTTTTTTTGAAAATCTGGAAATTATACCTCACTGCTCTGTTTCAGAATCTTAGGAAAATACCCCATTAGTAAGCAGGCTCAATTGAGAAAACTTCTCCCATTCCAATTTGTTTTAAGTTCTCTATTTACAACAACTCTTTCCTACATACCCATAGTAGCTTGATTGTATTCTGATTCTCCTTAAAGGTCTCTGATGTGGAATTTTATCAAAAGACATACACAAGTAATTTAATGTATATACACACTGGGTTCATACATAGGCAGTCAAAGTCAAACACACCCGGGAATATCACTGCTGATTTACACCAACTTCAGGCTTGTAGGTACACCTCTACAAAGTGCAAGGGGAATGCATGTCCCAACAGTGGTTTGGTTGAAATGTAAAACGAACAAAAAACTCAGTTCTGTAAACAAACTATTTTGAGCGAGTTTCCTTAAAAAACCTTCCAAACCTCCCAAAATGCTCACTCCAAGTTTAAATTATGCCCACCAGTTCCCTAGTTCCCTCTCTTCCTTGTTATCTTCCTCTCCCTGCTTAATCACTATTACTCTTTATTGAATGCAGAGACTAGAAACATGAGCATCCCTGACCTGAGAATGTAGAGATGCACGGGACCCCAAGCTGGGTCGTTTAACTCCTTAAAGTGGGGTCTCTGGAAATACTACTCATTAGGGGGTTTGGAAGCAGTGAACACACACTCTTTGTATTTTCCTTTGTTTAAAATGAATTTAGTTCCACTCTCATTTAATCCTAGAAAAATTCTTTGCTTAAAAGCACCTTAGGAGGTTTCCTGGTATAAACTGAGATGTTGACATTCCCAGAGGTTAAGTTCCAGGTTGAAAATCTGCCCTGGAATGTAGATCAACTGATTCATTCTCTGCACGCCCAGGAATGTTTCCAGGATTGACAGTTTATTAACTGTAACAGGTCTTGAAATTTACGGCTATGCCAGCTCACATCTGACCTAGGATAGCTTCTGGAAATAAAAGTCAATCACTTCCGACAACAGACATTAAATCTCAAGATTAAAGAGTGTCGAAATGGCTATCGGGCAGCTATAGACACCAGTCTGGTAAGTGCCTTCCAGAAGTCTACCTTAACGAAACGAAAAACCCAAGTCATGATACATGAGGTGTAGGTTGTAAACTGGAAATTTCTCTTCCACTCAATTTTTTTTTAAATGTCAAGTAAAAGGATGTAGTGAACTGACTTTCATGGTGCATCTGAGTATGTAACCTTTCCTATGCAGGTATTTCTGCCCCAAACCTTACAGCAGGTAACTGCGTAACAGGTGTGATCATCCTTGTCTCTTGTGTGACAGATCTGGAGATCTTTGGGGCCCTAAGGACAACTGAAATAATCCAGCCAGGGTGACAGGTACTCAAAATAGAGATGACCAGAATGCAGTTACTGTGAAGAAATGTCCAGCAGAGATCATTTGCAGACAGGCAGAGAGCTAGTCAATTAGAAAGTCCACATCTATTGAACACTTACTATGTGCCAGGTCCTACGCTAGGTAGTGGGACAGAGCAGTAAACAAACCGGGTGGATCACTGTCCTGGGCTGGGCGGGGGAGGCAGGGGAGCAGAGCTTATAGTCAAGCGTCCGAGGAAGGTAAGCAGCACCCGATGCAGAAGGCCTGAGCAGTGCAACCTGCCCACCTGAGGTACGGGGGCACCAAGCAGTGTCTACCTTCATGACATATTTGAGTTCAGAAGATGGGCCACTGTGCTGGAACAGGGGGTTGATTTTTTTTATCAGCCTTTAAACTTCCTCAGGTTTCTAGTGCCTCTTGGTTCCTGGAGTGTGGACTTCAGAGAGGGCAGACAGCCAGGGAAGCACTTCCATGGGGTTAGGAGGCGGAGCCTTCACAATGAGGTAGGCTGGAGCCAGAGAGGCGCCCTTCAGTGGGCTCCTGCAGGTAGGCCCAGGGGTTCCGAGAATGGCTACATCTAGGGAGTAGCTTAAGTTAGTCTCTGGGCAATATCTTTCCTACCAGATGTCCAATGCTGCATACCTTACTGAAAATCAGTCAACTCTTCTAAAAAGTGGCAGCCTAAGCTCTGTCACTATAGGGAATTAAGTGAAGGATCTGGGCCCAAACAGCCTGAGGGAAGACAGAAACAGGGATCTAGAACTCGAGCTGGCTGGGGGCCAGCAATGACCCGAGTGGAACTGTTGTTTCCCTTAGCCTGAGTTTCCTCATCTGAAAAATGGGCATGATATTGGTAACTATTTCACAGGGTTGTAGTAAAATGCAATGTATTAGTGGAGGTAAACACTCAACAGGATCTGGCCTACAGTTTATGCGTTTGGTCAATGTCCATTACTACCATCACTAAAGCCAACAGGATCCGAGTGTTTCTCCTCAGAGACGGCATTTGGTAGAGGGGTGTTAGGAGTTGTAGAGACCATATCCTGCTCTACAGTAGGTAGAATTAGGCTCCAGGAGAGAGACATCACAAGGGTTAGAGGGAGTGGCAGAAGCTGCAGCTAGAAAAAGAAAGCAAACTGAGTATGAGAGCATTACATGAAAGAAAAAGAAAGTAGCAGGAATCCATGAACTCCTCACAGGTTTTGGGTTTGAGCTGCAGAAAAGCCCATATAGCATCCCAAGGCAGTTAGAAAAAGAAAAGAATTCAACTAAAATGAAGGGTTTTTTTCCTGCATTTGTTTTGTTGTTTTTTTAGACTGGGTTTGGTGAGCAGCAACATAAAATTATCTTGGAAGGAGGCTAAGAAAGAATATATCATCATTTTTGAAATTTCCATAAATTCTTTTAGAAAGAAGGGGTAGGGGCTGGATCAAGCCAGGGTTAAACTCTTTGTTGAGAAGACAAAAGGGAAGCCAGTCTGTGTTTTCTTTAACGCTGGACCTGGTCAGATGCTCTACCTATTCCACCGACGTGGAAGCTTGCATCTATTTTCTTCACTGCTTCTTGTGAAGCCTGCATCCATCCACTCAAAAAGAGCGGTCTGAGTGTGTTAAGTGAAGTGGTCTCAGTAACCTACTATGAGGAGACACACAGGAGGTAAAAGCAAGCCTATGTTCCTGAGACCTTTGCAGTGAGGCCCGAGATCTAGCCCTAAGACCTCATTCCCAGTTAACGGGGTAATTATAAATGAAGGGAGCTGGCAGTCAGCTATTTACCACTGAATATTCATAGACAAAACGCAACACATGAGTTCCTAGTTTTAATCATAGGAGTCAGGTGGTTGGTCAAGTCTAAGAAAGTAAATAATGATCTATGAAAAGCAGAACCAAAATTGCTACTTACCAAATATCTTCAGGCCAGCCATACTTTATCAGATCTTCATCTGCAGAGACAGGAGAACAAAGAAAAGGAAAAACAAGAGAAATGAAGGTCTTAAGGGATACAAACTACTATGTATAAAATAAATAAGCAGCCAGGATATATTGTACAGCACAGAGAAATAAAGCCACTATTTTGTAATAACTTTAAATGGAGTACAATCTATAAAAATACTGAATCAGTAATGTTGTACACTGAAACTACTACAATATTTTATTTATTTATTTTTAATTTTAATTCAGTTTTAAAAGTATTCTTTGGTTCTTTTATTTATTTATTTTTTGGCTGCACTGCACAGCTTGAGGGATCTTAGTTCCCCGACCAGGGATTGAACCTGGGCCCTGGCAGTGAAAGCGCCAAGTCCTAACCACTGGACCGCCAGGGAATTCCCTAACATAATATTTTAAATCAACTATACTTCAATAAAAATAATTTTTAAATTTTTAAATAAAACAAAACTAAAAACATGTTTTAAAGAGAAGGTTAAATGAAATATGCCAAAGTTTATCATAAGTTGGGAAGGGAAAAAAAAAACAATCTTTTCCACAAAACTTTTTCTCTCCCTTAATAAAGAGTAATTCAAAGAGGCTTTGATGATTGAAAATACCAGAAAAATTTTTTTGATAGTTTTTACAACTGGACGATTATAATCATAATTTTGTATAACATTTATAATCTAAAGTTCAAAGATATTTCTATTTGAAGATAAAACTAACACTGGCAACTCAGAGCAACTGAGATGTTAGATAATGTCTTAGAAAACTGATTCACTATAACAATACTTATATGTTAAAATGGTTTTGCTACAACTTTAAAACCAGTGGACTGCATTTTACGCCTTAAAAATAAAAAAGCTTCTCAATTATAAAATTGTAGAAAATTAGGGAACAAAACAAACACCAGAAATATAAAAAAGAAAATAAAAATCACCTAAAATTCTGTCACATATGAAAATAAAAATAGAAGAAATAGGTAAAAGTTAAAGTAACTGTCTCTGAGAGTAGAACGTGGGTATTGAAAAGGATGGGGTAGAGAACTGATGTTTTTTACTATAAGCATTCTGTTATTACTTGAACTTTTTTTTTTTTGCGGTACGTGGGCCTCTCACCATTGTGGCCTCTCCCATTGCGGAGCACAGGCTCCGGACGCGCAGGCTCAGCGGCCATGGCTCATGGGCCCAGCCGCTCTGTGGCATGTGGGATCTTCCTGGACCGGGGCACAAACCCGTATCCCCTGCATCAGCAGGCGGACTCTCAACCACTGCACCACCAGGGAAGCCCTGAACTTTTAAACTATATATTTGTTAGATAAAAATAAAGATTTTAGAAGTTCTTTGGAAAAAATGACTACATGATTCTATCATATGGATAAACTTTTCTGTTGTTGACATTTGGATTGCTTCTAATTATAAATGCTTCAGTAAATACTTTTTAAATAAATATGTCCATACTCCTGATTATTTCCTTAAGGTGTATATCTAAAAGGTGAAGTATTCGTTCAAAACATATGCATATATATGTTTGTTTTGTTTTGTTTTTGGCTATACCACATGGCTTCCAAGATCTCAGTTCCCCGACCAGGGACTGAACCTGGGCCATGGCAGTGAAAGCGCCAAATCCTAACCACTAGACCACCAGGGAACTCCTACGTATGTATATTTTTAAGGCTAATGATATATATCTCTACAGAAAGGTTATCTCAATATATACCTCTAATAGCCATATTAATAATTAGTAATACAGAAGCATTACTTAAATTATTAAACCTAAAGTTAAAAATTGTAAGGTAAAGTGATTCACATATGATGATTTAAAATGTACTCAAGTATATATAAAATGTACTCAAGTATATATAAAATGTACTCAAGTATTTAAAATGTACTCAAGTACATAAAATGTACTCAAGTACATATAAAATGTACTCAAGTATTTCCAGAAAAGTACATATAAAAAGTACATATAAAAAGTACATATAATGATAGAGTACATATAAAAAGTACATATAAAATATAAAAGTACATATAAGTACATATAAAAGTACATATAAGTACATATAAAATATAAAAGTACATATAAGTACATATAAAATATGTACTTATATGATGATAGAGTACCCTCTTGGATGAGGGTACTCTAAGCAACTGCAGACACCTTGAGTTTTCTGAAGGGTTTTCTACTAGCTTAAGTAAGAAGCTGAGCAAATAGCCGGCCAGTAATCAGAAAAAGGGAATTATAAAAACCTCTTTTCCTCATTTGGGCAATGTTTGGCTCCCTGGTGACACCTGCTGGCTAATAAAAAGAACACACCTGAAAGCTTTTTAGAGAAAGTGACTCATTCAACTTAAAATTCATTTATGTTCCATCCAGCCCTTAGCCTGAAGTCATCAAGGCTATTAGAAGTAAACGTGATGTGCTAGGAGCACTGGAGAACAGGCAACTCTAAAATGTAATACCAGGCTTCCCTGGTGGCGCAGTGGTTGAGAGTCTGCCTGCCCATGCAGGGGACACGCAGGGGACACGGGTTCATGCCCCGGTCCGGGAAGATCCCACGTGCCGCGGAGCGGCTGGGCCCGTAAGCCATGGCCGCTGAGCCTGCGCGTCCGGAGCCTGTGCTCCGCAACGGGAGAGGTCACAGCAGTAAGAGGCCTGCGTACCGCAAAAAAAAAAAAAAAAAAAAAAAAA